TATGGATTAATTCGGATGAGAACCGTTTCAACCCCTTGCCTCGCCGTTTCTTTCACGCGTACATTGGATGAAATGTTTTACTGCTCGGAATGTACTAGAAAAAGAAGGAAATTCTTTGGTATTGTGCACTAATTCTGATAAGGATCATTTTAACCCTTTCCTCGTCGTTTCTTTCACGCGTACATTGGATAGGAATGTCTTACTGTTCGGAATTTACTAGAAAAAGAAAGAAATTCTGTGATATTATGGATTAATTCGGATGATAACCGTTTCGACTCCTTGCCTCGAGGTTTCTTTCACACCTACACTCGATAGAATTCATTTATTATTTATAATTCACTACAAAAAGCACAGTCCCCTATGGAATGACGAATTAATTCACCTAATCATTTTACGCTTTCCCTTATGACTTCTCTCGAATCTGTTCTCAACAAAATTATCTTATCCATAATTCACTAACCAAAGAAAAGTACTCCGCATGTACCCTAACACTCAACAATTAATAACAAAAAAATAATACTCAATTCGCACTGAAAAGAATGAAACGTATTCGTTTCATTCTGTTCGCAATCACTGCCGGTTTGATGCAATATCGCGAACCGACGGGTTAGTATCGTTATCAGCGCTCGACACGCGCGATCGAACAACACTAAATAACAGTCCGAAATTCAGTTCCATCGGGAATATGAAAACTAGGGGAATCGCGGCAAAGGCGCGACGCGCATCATTAATACAGGCGCAAGCAACTAGGCGAATTAAGCCTTCGAAAAATCAATTGCCCGCACGGCATCGAGACTGCACGGGAATTGTTCCGGCGGGGTTCGACGGGAAGTTAATGAACGTTTATCCGGCACACGCGCGACGTGGCGTAAAGTAGTTCGAGAGCTTTTTGTTTGCCGGCAATTAAAACGATAAATAAACGAAAAACCGTTCGCGCTTTTGCGCCGCGAGTTTTTATCCCAGCGAACGCGAACTATTCGACGCCGAAGGAAGTTGTTGCACCCGCTGTCCGGAACGACGGTCTGCTTTTCATTAAACCGTGATTGCCTTAATTAATGCTCTCCCCATTACAGATACCTCATTCCGCAAATGACTTGTCACTCGACTACGGGTAGGCATACGATAAATCCGACGAAAAATACCGACGAACGCGTCTCGCCGGGGAGATCGTATTTCGAATCCGACGGGATGGTCGGCGAGATAGCCATCGGCAGCCGAGAACGAACAGTAGGATTTTAGTAAACACTTGGCGAACTCGTTAGCGGTATCGCGAATATGGAGATAGAAAATTTCTCGAGTTTCTAGGAGCGCCTAATTAGCGGAACTACGACACGCGCGCAATTTATGGAGATATCACGCCGACGGCTCGCGCGAACGATATCGAAAATCCTCGCGCGGAATCTGCCACGTTAGCGGGTTTACAATTCAAAATTCAAATCGACCCCCGTTCAGCGGGCTTTATCAATTAAGAAGAAAGTATTATTAACGTCTCCTTTAAACGGTGGCCGCGATTGGAATTTCGATTAGCCGGATTAACGTTTCTTTTTAAAACAGGATTCGTGATCTTTTTCATTTCGATTCGCCGCGGTTTTGGCCAGCTTCGAATTTCGCGTCGGACTGAGCCGCATCGTTGACGCGCATGCGCTGGAAAATTATTTCAAATCGTATAGAACTTTCTTGGCAATTGTTCTTTTCCTGATGAAAGTTTCCTACCGATTTTCTCCTGAATGGAGGAAGAAAATTGGAAGAAACCCGTGTGTTCCGTACCAGTTTTAATTTCGTAACTCGATTCGACGTCGAGCATCGCAACTGCGCACGCGTTGTGGGTCGCCGACGCGCAAGTGTATAATCGCTTCCTTGATAAGTTAGTGTTCGGATGATTCTTGCCGTTGTTCGACTGGCTGTACACTGCTCAGACGGTAAGACTCATTTAAGCCCTGTGTACATATCGAATCTAAAAGCGAGACGCGCAAGGTCCCGACGATGATCGCGTAATTAGACCACAACCGCGTTAATAAGCGCAGCCTGACCGTAGCGATATCCCCCTAATTAACAATTAATCGTCTACTAATCACAAGGCATTATTTTGTTCGAACGGGACCGAACGGTTGCAATCCGAAGCCCCGTACGGTTTCCATAGCGGCAAAGAATTTATTAATTGCAAACGGAGGAATGCGAGTCGAGCGTCGAATCGATGCGCGTAGGCTTGCTGGGGAATCGTTGTTAAACGTCTGAGCTCAAAACTCTCGAGTATCATCTTCGTTTCTAGCTAATCACCGTTAAATGTCCTAGCTTCTAACTGTATTCTGAATAATCGAATTATACGATAGATCGAAAATATTAGAGAGTCATTCCCGTTTCAGCTAATAAAATTCCATATCTTTCAAAGTATCTTTTATCAATAATTTATTAATAAATCCATAATCTCCAATAACCATCTTCTTTTCGTCCAATAAAACTTTTCACTAATCTTTCAATGATTCATTTGACGAAGAAATTCGCATGTTAATTTCATCGCGAAGCCATTACTAACTTGTTGCCACCGATACACTCCGAACTTTTCGGCTAACGTCGTATAACACACGCTGCACGGCGAGCGTGTGGAATTATTTAGTGCGAAGCCTCGTAATTCTGCTCTCCCGGTAACTCTCGCACCCCCGCGCATTGTCCCGGCGGCGATAGTCGTGAAAATTCCTAGCGACGCGATAGGTTCCACCGAATAATAGAGGCATATGCCCGGGAATGGATGAACGTAATAATATCATCGCGAACGGGCATCATTGTATAGTTTTCTGCTCTAATATTTATGCACGCCGGTAGTTCCAGGCAATTTTTCGAGTTCATTAAAAATCTGGGCCACCACGAGGCCTCCTCCATTATCCCGCGATATAATTAACTTACGGCGCAGCTAATTTCTCTCGTGCCACGCGCCTCTTAATCGCCGGATCGAGCCGAACCTTTTTTCGAACGAGAACCCTCCTTTGTTTCCCAGACTGTACAACGGACACACACAGCGAATTATTCCTTTAGCGGAGAATTAATCGTCCGTGTTCGGAAGTCGAAACAATTAACTCTGTTTCCATAGATTTCTGTGGCAGAAATTGATCGGCGCTCGTATCGCGTTCAGTCGCGCAATGAATATTAATCGAATTAAGGGAGATTATCGTTGAATAAGATGATGGAGACTATATAATTAATCGATGGAAATTGTTAAATATTCCCGGCGGAGTATGGTCGAGTGTAAATCGAATGAAAAGCCTAGTGTTTAATAGAGAAGCCAGTGCGATTTGAATAAATATTATCTCATCTTCGTCTCATAAATTTCGATCTCATTTGAATTCTCAGGTGGAACATTGAAAGATTCCTGTTAATTGATTCACTGCAACTGGATCGTTTCCTTCATTAAGGAAACGCACCGAGGATATCATTCGCGACGAAACGAGCGTTTCAGTAAATTCCATCGAGGCACCGAGTTTAATGCGTGTTCCGCGCATTCGTTTGCAACAGATGTGCATAAATATTCACGACCTGCTTATGACCGAATCCTGCAGGCTTCCACGACACGACTCACCGATGGCATTTCTGTCGTTGCCTCTCGTGCACCCATAATGCGTCTCCAAGGGTATGGGTTCCGCTCTGTACTCCACCCATGATCGGTGACCCCTGAACGACGAGGCCTGTTGGAAATTTAAAGTGCGTAAGTCACCACTCGAACGTCATCCGATCAATTGAAACTACAGTTTCAAAAGATTTCGAAGTCATTCCGTATTCAACACACTGGAACTATCGATTGCATAGAAATCTTAATTGGAAGTTATTGAAAGTATACAGATAATCTTTGAAATTATAGAATAGGGTTAATGATATGTAAACTAAAATACGAGTCAAACGTTGCATTGCACAATCTTATTTTTATAAAAGGTATACCGTACGATCAATTTTACTGCTCGGTGGTTCCGGTGTTTAATTAAAGAACATGGGGCGAAATGAATAATTAAAGAGTCTATCAATCTATTTAAATCGAGGAGCCAGGGAAACAATGTTCCTTTATTAAAATATAGTCGAGTGAAACGTAACGTGTACGCTCTTCCGGGTCGTAAAAAAGATTTATCGCCGGTGGTGTGCATGGGACAAGGATGAAAGAACGTTTGCGGTGAGTAAAGTGTAAGCAGAAGAAAAAAGTAGCGCGTGATAAATGATTTGTACATGCAGTCGTGGTGTAGCGTGCTTGGCACGGCGCAATGTC